TCCATTGAGCCGATGACTGAGACCGAGGTCTTGCTGCTTGCCGCACTTCAAGAGTCCCACAAAAGTAACGAATACCTCACAAACCGAAACATCGCCCTGCAGGCAGGGAATTTGCTGAATGAGGTGTATTGTGTGAAAGCGAAGGGTGCGCTTCAGTTCCAGGAGGAGAAGAAAAAGAAAAAGAAGCGGCAAGGGACTCTTCCAGATGGTTTACCATGTGTCTTGAAAGGGGATAGGTTCTATGAGGAACGGGTGAATTTTGAGAAGGAGCGTCAGGCAGAGGAAAGGGAAAAGGACAATAGAAAGGACTTACAAGCAGAGTGGAAAGCGGCAAAGGAGAAGTGGCAGCAGGCTGAGGATGCACGAAAGGAGCTGAAAGAACATGAGACTGCCAAGTACGAGGAAGCATTGGCAGTATGGAAAGCGGTGAATGAGGGGCAAGGGCGTGGGTGTGGGTGTGGGTGTGGTGGAGGTAATGCTGGACAAAAGCCAGTTATGGCCGCAATTCCGAAATGGGTACCTCCACCATTGTTGAAGGACTTTCTAACAGGCTGGACTGGAACAGGGCTTGCAGAGGAGGAGGAAGGGGAACATTTCACAAGCGATGAAAGCAACAACAGCAACAGAAAAGGCTTATGTCTGATTATCAGATCAGGGTGATCTCAGATCTAATGTGGGTGTCTCATTCACCCATATATGTCCACTTTCCGTTCCTGACAGTGATTTCGGTGCAGTTGGCCCCAGTCTTGTTCGTTTCGGCCGAATTTTCTCTCAACACTCACATTAACCTTGTCCACCATCTTGTACACATATATTTTGCAGAGGATATGTACCTAGACACACCTATCAATTTTTATTTTCAGTGTCTCATTAGCCGGTGAATGACTTTTTACAACAAAAGACCGGTCACAACTGGTCTGGACCGGTCTTTTTCGCATTGTGGACCGATTAGGACTGGTCTAAAGCGGTCCGGTTGCAGTCCCTTGATATCTGGATCGGTCTAGACTGGTTGCGGTTGCCAGTTGCGTCGTTTTGACGTTGGGAACTGTTTCTCACACTCTTTGGGCCACTGGAGTTAGTGGCTAGCTTAGTGTTGTCATTGTTCATGATGATATAATGTAAAACAGCAAAGACTACAGACATTTGTAGTCCAAAAAGCGGACACTACAAACATTTGTAATGAAAAAAGCGCACACTACAGGCCTTTGTAATGAAAAAGGCAAAGACTACAAACATTTGTAGTCAAAAAAGCGCACACTACAAGCCTTTGTAATGAAAAAGGCAAAGACTACAAATATTTGTAGTCTAAAAAGCGCACACTACATGCATTTGTAGTCCAAAAAGCGGACACTACAAACTTTAGTAATGAAAAAAGCTG